AATGAAAATAATATAAGGGGCTGGAGAGATAGTTTAGTAGTTGAGTTTGCACTGCTCTTCCAGAGGACCCAAGTTAGGATCCCAACAACCACAACACTTGCTTCTTGGATTCCTGTACTCCAGCTTCAGGGGATCTGACTTAGTGTACTAATCAAACTACCATTTTTTGTCTTTAAATGAGTGGGTGCTGGGTGCTATGGCACATGCTTATAATCCAGCGCTCAGAAGGCCATGGCAGGAGTGTTGCCAGAGTTTGAGGCCAGCCTGGGATACAAAGCAAAATTTATTAAAAAAAAAATAGAATGAAAAGTATCAGTTGGGTGTGGGTTAAAAAAGGGAACAATGTACAACACAGTGAAAGCAGGGGCTGGAAAGGAGGCTCAGCAGTTGAGAGCTGAGGTTCTTAAGATATGTAAGTTCCAGAGGTCTTCAGTTCGATTCCCATCACTGACTTGGCAGCTCACAACTCTCTGTAACTCCACTTCCAGAGAATCAGACATTCTCTTAGAATTGAATTACGGGAAAAAAACACCAATACACATACAATATTAAAAACAAATTTTTAAAAAGAAGAATTACCTTAAAGTTTATCTGCCGTCAAGGGCGAAACCTATCAAGGGTGTTATTGGGCATCTCTTCCTGGAGAAATCAAAGGTGACTGTCAGCTCTGAAGGTCAGATTGGAATGTATCAACAGTCACTTCACGGATTAAGCTATTTCATATACCATGTATCCCCAACCACAGAGTTACAGATCCTCCTCCCATAAGGAAAGATACAAACACAAATCTCTCATAGAATATAAATCAAGAGAGGCTGGGGGATGGCTCATCAGTGAAGTGTTTGTCATGCAAGTGTGATCAGCTGAGCCTGGATTCCATGTTCCCCAGAAAAAAGACAAAAATCGAGGCAGAGCAGTAATCTGTGAAATCAGATCAGGGGAGGCAGAGACAGGAGAGTCTCCAGGGCTGGAATCAGGCAGTTTAGCATAATAGTGAACTGCAGGTTAACTGAGAGACCTTCACTTATGTACGTCCTCCTCATCCTCATCATTATAATCATCAGCATCAGCATCATTTTGATCAGCATGCACACACTAAATAAATAAATAAATATAGTTTAAACATTTTAAACTAGAGGGCTGGAGAGATGGTTCAGTGATTAAGTGTGTTTGTGCCCTTGCAGAGGACACAAGTCAGTTCCTAGCAACCACATGAGTAGCTCACAATCCCCTGTAATTACTGCTTGAGGTGATCTGAAGCCCTCCTCTGGCCTCTATGGGCATTGCATGAATATGTGCCATGCAAATCTCCCCCCAACATATACACATAATTAATAAAAAATAGAATTTTTTTATATTATAAAATTTTAATGTAGAGAGCAAGTGAGGAAATCACCCAACATTAAATTCTGACCTCCACACTTATGCTCACATATGTGCACACACACAGAGGAACATGTTCACACACACACACACATACACGCATGCACGCACACATAAGCACTTAAGCACTGAAAGAAAATGAATTAAAATCCACATGCTTCCACAGGGATATCTTACAGGTAACTTCTTTTCATTTCTATAGGAGGATCCAAATCATTACAGTCAATTCATTGGAATAGAAGAAACATCAATTCTGTGTAAGTGCTGCCATGGAATAGAATGATACTTACAAGATGTAGACTCCTGTGGAAAATGTAACAGCAATGTAGCCTTGCTGAAATTTAGGATCCTTAGCAAGAAGCTCACACATTTTGGAAGTGGCATTCAAGTCCTTGTTCTCCATATCCTAAAACAGGAGCAGTGAGAAATCAAAGGCGGCACTGTTGGTAACTGGCATCTTCTCTAAGAGGGGAACTGACTTAAGTCCCAAGGGGTTTGAAGGAGAATGTCCCCATAGACTCAGATATTTAAACAGGTGGTCCCCAGGTGGTGTGCTCTTGGGGATGATGTGGGGAGGGGCAGCCTTGCTGTAGGAAGTCTATCACTGGGGTGGGCTTTAAGGACTCACAGCCTTGCCTCACTTCCAGGTTGCTCTCCCTGCTTCCTGTCTGCACTGGAAGCTGTGCTCTCTCACCTTCCCTCTCCTGATGTCATGTCTTTCGCCATGATGAACTCTTATCCCTTTAGAACCCTAAGTCCATACAAACTCTACATAAGTTGGTTATTGTGGTGTTTTTATCACAGCAACAGAAAAGTGACTTATATAGGGTGAGACCCTCCTGTCTCTGTTAGAGTCATGAGCAGGATGGCACATGTCTGCAATGCCAACCCTCAGGGGCTGGGGCAGGGAGATCAAGTTCCAGGCCAGCCTGGGCTACTTAGCAGAATCCTGCATTTACCCTCCCCCCCAAAAAAAAATAAAACAAAACCAGTGGGGTTATGGTCTGTAAGGCTAAGCATTCAAAGAGAACCGTCTATCAAAGTCCTCAGCAAACTTCTCAGGGAACAAGCTGCCATGTTACCTCCTTCACATTCTTCCAAAGCTCCTTGGGTAAGAAATGAATTCGAGGTGATTCCAATTCAACCATCATTTCATCTGTATCAAGGGGGTCCTCTAGCCAACAAAAGCAACGATGAAAATTCATGAAGCAATACATAAGTTTTTATATAGTGTGTTTTTCATATAGATATATATATATATATACATACATATACATATATGCCTACGAACCCTTGTGTACAGTAAACACAGAGGCTAGAAGAGTTACTCAGGTCCTCTGAAACTGGAGTTAGAAAGCATTGTAGGCTGGCATTTGGGTACTGAGAACTGAACCCAGGTCCTCCAGTGCTCTGAACCACTGAGCCATCCTATCAGCTCCACCAATAATGACTTCTAAAATCCACTATTGAAACATAATACAAAAAGAGACATTAACTTGGTATTTAAACTCTGAAGAAGATATTAAAAGTTTTTGATTCTGGTAATTAAACCATTGTTTCTACTAGAGCATAAACACGGTATGCACAATAAAGATCACAGTTTATAACATACAGTAGCCTGAAGCCTGAGCAGAGTGTTGAGGCAGCATTTGCTGGCACTCATGCAGGACAGCATGCACAATGCAAAGTGCATGTGTTTGGGGTTCAGAACCAAGGCTGCAGTAGAGCAGGAGATGCACACACTGCCAGAAGGACTCCATTGACTTCACCTTTAATTTTGAATTAATTTTTGATTATTGTGTGTTCAGAATACTGTTGCCACGTTATTCTCAACTGAGATTCAGTTTCAGAATCCCCATGGGGTCTCACCCCACAGTATAAGAAGCTGGAAGCTTGTGGATGGGGTCAGCCTCCAGAAAAAAAGGAGAATATTTGTGAAACATATGTCTGAGTTGAATATTCATAAGATATGAAGAATTCTTACAGCTTAGGAAAACAAATAGTATAATTAACAAATTGTTTGGGGGGGCGGGGGAAGGGGGGTGAGGTAGACTGAAGAGATAGTTGAGTTGTTAAGTTGTGTTATTCTTTTGCAGAGGTCCCAAGCCCAGTACTAAGGTCTGGTGACTCACAAACATCTCTGACTCCAAGAATGGGTTCAACTATTTCTTCTGTCATCTGGGCACCTGCATACAAGAGATCCAGATAGATAGACAGACACACACTTTAAAGTTGAAAGATTTTTTTTTTTAATTTTCTGTGTGTGAGTGGTTTTCTCCATTTGTGTATGTGCACTACCTGTGTGCCTGGTACCTGAAGAGTCAAGGAGAGGGGGGTGCATCCTATGGAGATGGAGGCACAGGCAGTTGTAAGCTGCCATGTGGGTACTGGGAAGCCAATCTGGGTCCTCTGCAAGAACATCTAATGCTCTTGACTAATCAGCCATCTCTACAGCCACTGTTGGAATTGAAAATGTAAATAAATATGCATGGTGGTGAATGCCTTTCTTTCATATTCAAAAGGCAGAGGTGTTCAAAATAAATAAATAGAGCCTTAGAAATAGCCCAGCTGTTAAGACCACTGACTGCTCCACCCAGCACCCACATTGTAGCTCACAGCTGTCTGAAACAATTAAAGAGAATATAAAACATTCCTTTGACCTCTGTGGGTACTGCATGTACATGGTTCAGAGACAATCACAGAAGCAAAACACTCATACATATTAAATAAATAAATAAATAATAAATAAATGTTAAGAACATCAAAATCTCAAAAAAAAAAAAAAACAAAGAAGGAAAAGTCAATGGAAGAAACGTCTTGTCTCCAAGAAGACAGGAAATGGCCACAGATCCATCAGTCTTTAATGAAATGCAAGTTAAAACAACAAAGTTCTGACTCCAAACAGTCTTTGAGGACATGAAGAAATAGGAATTCTTGTCCACTTCTGTGGAAAAGTAACAATGCAACCCTTGCGCAAAAGTATGGTACTGCCTAAAAGGTAACTAACCATATAATTATCAAATAACCCAGTAATTGTACTCCTACATTAAACTCAAGAAAAATGAAAACATACATCCAGATAAAACCTTAAACAAATGTTGATAGAAGTATTTTGGTGATAGCAAAAGATAGAAACAGCCCAATTGTCCATTTCTGGATGAATAACCTGTGGTATAGTCATATGGAATACTATTCACCCATGAACAGGAATAAGTCCTGAAGCATGCTACAACCTGGATGAACCTCAAAGCATGTTC